TCCAGATGATGAAGATGTCATCAATATAGCGCAGGTAGAGTAGGGGCTTTAGGGGGCGAGAGCTGAGGAAGCGTTGTTCTAAATCAGCCATAAAAATGTTGGCATACTGTGGGGCCATGCGGGTACCCATAGCAGTGCCGCTGATCTGAAGGTATACATTGTCCCCAAATGTGAAATAGTTATGGGTAAGGACAAAGTCACAAAGTTCAGCCACCAGGTTAGCCGTGACATTATCGGGGATAGTGTTCTTGACGGCTTGTAGTCCATCTTTGTGTGGAATGTTGGTGTAGAGGGCTTCTACATCCATAGTAGCCAGGATGGTGTTATCAGGAAGATCACCGATGGATTGAAGTTTCCTCAGGAAGTCAGTGGTGTCTCGAAGGTAGCTGGGAGTGCTGGTAGCGTAGGGCCTGAGGAGGGAGTCTACATAGCCAGACAATCCTGCTGTCAGGGTGCCAATGCCTGAGATGATGGGGCGCCCAGGATTTCCAGGTTTATGGATCTTGGGTAGTAGATAGAATATCCCAGGTCGGGGTTCCAGGGGTGTGTCTGTGCGGATTTGATCTTGTGCTTTTTCAGGAAGTTTCTTGAGCAAATGCTGTAGTTGCTTTTGGTAACTCTCAGTGGGATCATAGGGTAATGGCTTGTAGAAACTCGTGTTGGAGAGCTGCCTAGCAGCCTCTTGTTCATATTCCGACCTATTCATGATGACAACAGCACCTCCTTTGTCAGCCTTTTTGATTATGATGTCAGAGTTGTTTCTGAGGCTGTGGATGGCATTGCGTTCCGCATGGCTGAGGTTATGGGGCAAGTGATGCTGCTTTTCCACAATTTCAGCCCGTGCACGTCGGCGGAAGCACTCTATGTAGAAGTCCAGTCTGCTGTTTCGACCTTCAGGAGGAGTCCATCTAGAATCCCTCTTTCTGTAGTGTTGGCAGGGAGACCTCTGTGGATTAGTATGTTGTTCAGAGGTATTTTGGAAATATTCCTTGAGACGGAGACGTCGAAAATAGGATTCTAGGTCACCACAGAACTGTATCATGTTCGTGGGGGTGGAGGGGCAGAAGGAGAGGCCCCGAGATAGAACAGCTGCTTCTGCTGGGCTGAGAGTATAGTTGGATAGGTTAACAATATTGCTAGGTGGGGTGAGGGAACCATTGCTGTGGCCCCTTGTAGCATGTAGTAGTTTAGAAAGTTTAGTGTCTTTTTTCTTTTGTAGAGAAGCAAAGTGTGCGTTGTAAATGGCTTGTCTAGTTTTAGTAAAATCCAGCCACGAGGAAGTTTGTGTGGAAGGTTCGTTCTTTATGAGAGTATCCATTTTTGAGAGCTCATTCTTAATCCTTCACTGCAGTTTCCATTGTAATTGATACTTCAACAGCCTTCTTGAATGTAAGCACTGATACAATCAGTAACTTCTTCCAAACCGGGTCACTGCTTAATCCAGAGAATAACTGATCAATCAGGGCATCACTTAATGTCTACCCAAGCTGACAATGCGCAAATAACTTCCTTAGAGCAGCAACAAATTATGTTACCAACTCTCCACTTCCCTGATGGAACCAGTAATGTTCTGCTATCATTGATGTGGTAGAAGAAAAATGCTGTGGATGTAACAGTTTCGGTCACAGTTGGAGATAATAGCAGTCTATATGCCTTCAGACCCATCACTGTCAGGAAGGTTGAAACTCGTTCATTTGGAATGGTGTTGTAGATTACAAATTGCTCAAAACATTTGAGGTACAACACCATTCATGATTTGGATTGTCACCAAATTCACCAGCAATGCCCACAAAAGTTGCCATTTCTTTGTTCTCTTGTTGGACTTCACCTTCCTGAACACCTTTAGTTCCACAGAGAAACTCCTTTTAGTGCACTATCTGTATTCCTTCTGCAGACTTCTTTCTTTGCCTGTATGTGGCCTCCCTCTGCTGGCTATAGACCCTCAGTGCAGGTTTAAACTGCTTGCCAGCCGCTTGCATGTGGTCAATCAATATGGCAGCTTGCTTTCCCCTCACTGCTTTGTTTGCAGGAGCTCCAGGCAGCAACCTCTTCCTTTGTTCTGCTTTTAATTGCCAATTCCCCCTCTCTAGCTGGCTGGTTCACACTGTCCCAGCAGCAAAATCAGCAGTCTGCCACCTTGAGCCTCTAGATAAACTTTTCCCCTTTTTTCATAGTATTATTTGCTTAATGTTTCTTCTTCCTCAGGCAGAGGCAGCTGTAGACACTTGTGGGACAGAAATCCTGCATCTCAGAATGATATATTTGGACCCAGCAAAGAAGGAGATAGACACAAAGGGAGCTTATAGGACCACAGCTGTCTGCTGTGCTCCCTTTATTACTCAGGCTGCAAAACTGAAAAACAGCAGGAAAGTGAGGCTTTGCACTGGGGAGGGGAGAGCACTCAAACATTCAAAGGGGAAGGAAATAGCAGATACTTTTAAATTGGTTTAGTTTAGTTAAGGAACCAAGTTTAATTCAATTCAAGAGTGTCTGCACAGTGATTTTGCAGTGATTTAAATAAATCAGTTTTTAAACACATTTTACTTAAACTGGTGCAACTTTGTGTTTCACAGAAGGCCATAATCTAGTGAACATCTAGTTGTTTCCCCCACACACTGAGGTTACCTCTGCTAGTGCAAGTGTAGCTGAAAGCACAGTTACCAACTTTCACGCAGTAAATAAGCACCCCGACTTTCACAATAAGCCAAAAATCAAGCTAATCCCGTTTCAAAACAAGGCCAAAACAAGCCAATCCCTAAGAACCCCAACACTCTATGTAACTAGATCCCCCCGGCATGCAGTCTGGGACTGTGGTGGGCCCACTGTGCACCCCGACTCTCTCCCCCCCTTGCCCCTGCTTGCCAGGAGCTGATCAAAAAAAAAGAAGCAACAAGCAACAGCCAGACAAGCAACAAGCTACAAGGCAAAAACTAGCCAACAAGCAACTCACAAGCCAACTAAGCCAAAAACAAGTCCAATTTCTGAGGGTTTTTCGTGGGTTTGGCATGACTATGCCAAACAGAAACAGAAGTGAAACCAACTATTTTCACTGTCCCAGATGAGAAGTTTTTTAAAAAGGAAACAGATAGTGTGAAGAAAAATAGATCATCAAATGTAAGAACTACTTAGATTTTAACAGCAATTAAAAAAAATAAGTAAGGATTTTTTTAAATGAACACAGCCAGATTAATTACCAATCTAAATCCTATAGCGTCAATGGATTATAACCCAAGATTTGACCCATTGTTAGTATGGATACTCCATCGGAGTAACCCACAAACATTTTTTTTTTTTTTTGGTGAGCTGGTGGGGAGGGGAAAATAAATTTATGCTTTTTTGCTTCTTTATTACAAATAACAATGGTCTAAAAGGTTGGGTTTGCCCCCACCCCTTTTTTTGGCATGTATGTTACATTAGAAATTCAGGTCCGCTCAGACCTATTTTTCCTGAAAAACTATGGACACCTTTTTCTTCCTTTGCAGGTCACCTTTACAAGAAAAAATGTATTATTATGGCCTCTTCCCCTTCATCTGTGACGCAACAGTGACATCTACTGGATGAAGCATATGAGTAGTCCCATAGGATTTAAATTTGCGCTTTGTTGAATTGGGGCCAGACCAGAAAAAGTTTAGATCGTGTCTCCTTCTTAAAAGTGAGCTACATTATTATTCCTTATCTCATGTTTCCCATTTAAATGTGGGGCAGAAGAATATTATCAGTAATTTTAGAACATTTTTCCTCTGTGGATATATCCCAGCCTCATTTCTTATTTACAATAGTAATAGCTAATTAAATTAACTCAAGAGTAGGTATTCCAAGACCCAAATCCTGCTGAAGTGCGATCCAGTGATGCAAGAGGATGGATTAGAGGTCCTTTCCAATCACTATCATCTGAATTCTCCAGTGAGTCTAATTCCAGACATACCCTTCAGATATTGAATCCAATGCAGAGATTCTAATGAGGCTTAAGGAAAAAAAAACCTCATCGACCCAAAGTGATTCTCATGCAGGGGACAAGTCAAAAGCCAAAATAAATCATATTAAAGATTTTAAAGATTATAATGATACTTTTTAAAACAATGACTTCTAAAATTATACACTGAAAGAAAAATATTCTGCATACTTTTAAAAAATACTCACATATCCAAGACTAACATTTTTTAAACCTTTGATCCCAGGCCCAAATTACATGGTTTCTACTGACATTTGTGCTGATGGTAACTCAGACCTTTAGTACTGTAAACCAGGGATAAAATACTAATGAAGACCCTGATGCTGCAAACACTTATGCAGGTGTTTAATTATTCATGTGTGGAGTCCCATTCAATGGGACGGTTCATAGATATGTTTAACTATATGCACATAAATGTTTACAAGATTGAGGCCTATGGGTGGGGTTTTATGAAGGGAAACCAAATTGGAGAATGCGTCTAAGAGAATTGTTACAGAGAGGATTATGGAGGTGCTAGTGAATGGAGTGACTGGAGAGGGAACGCAGATGCCTAGGAATATATGCACCAGAATGTACACACAGAGAGTAGCAAGATCATTTTGAAAAGCATTGCAACTTCTTTCCCTGAAGTCAGCAGCCCTTTGAGCATCCCTGCTGATTCTGGTTTGTGTTACAGTTCTTTCCTCCTGATATCAGGAGTCTTGCAATAACAATCCAGAACCACTTTCTTAAGAACGTAAGAATGGCCATACTGGATCAGACCAAAGGTCCATCTAACCCAGTATCCTGTCTTCCGACAGTGGCCAATGCCAGGTGCCCCAGACGGAATGAACAGAACAGGTAATCATCAAGTGATCCATCCCCTGTCGCCCATTCCCAGCTTCTGGCAAACAGAGGCTAGGGACACCATCCCTCCCCATCCTGGCTAATAGCCATTGATGGATATTTCAAGATGGATGCTTCCACATTCCTTCAAGTATCACAGGAGCCACTGCAAGGAATTCTGGGATGTGTCTGACAGGCTCTTTGCAAGCAAGAATGTGTCTACCTCTGTGCTCCCCAGCAGATCTGCAGACCCCTCCCGATATGCATTTAAGTATCCATCCACCAAGGTTGTTAAGTCAGACATCATCTCATCCATTAGCCACAAGCGGAGAGGTAGAAGGTAAACGGTTTCCAGAGCCAACACTTTCAGCAGCGAAGGTGGAAGAGGTCTCACAAACCATATATCAGGGGTCTCCTGCATGTCCCAAATATAAATGAAAAAACCCAGTTATTAACCTAGCAAAATTTTTAAGAGCAACTTTTGCTCATGTGCTTCCTTTTCTCATCTGCTCACACTGTATTTCCAGATGCTCATAATATTCCCAGGGCTGTTGAAGCACACACTAGCTATACCATTGCAGTAGCACCCTCTAAGGCCTTCTCTATGCACAAAAGTTTTGCCAGTTTAACTATTCCAATCTAGACATACCCTACATTATCTAAGAGCTTCATGTCTCTTCATGGTTTGTAGTTTTTTTATTATATATTATTATAAATCATAATTGCAAAATGACCTTTTAGAAAATACAATTATGAGCACTGATGGCAAGTGAAGCTTGAACCTGCTGTTGAGGGGACTCATGAGAGGGGCACAAAAGGTCAAGTGCCCCTCCAGCAGGGTCAAGTGCCTCTCCAGCAGTCGGCCCGGCCCGGGCAGAGAGAAGAAGGAGCAGGGCCAGAGCTGGAAGAGAAGAGGCGGAGTCAGGGCCAGAGCCTCTTCTAGCCACGCTGCCTTGGATGCTGCCTGGTGCAGCTGGGAGAGCACCTGGCTGTGGCAGCAGCAGGCTGCCCTCCACCCAGGTTCAGCTTCTGGAGACAGTGGCCAAGTGACCCAGAGCGCCTTCCTCCCTCCCCGCCCCGGGTATGCTCAGAGTCGTCTCGTGTCCCCAGAAGTCAAGCCTGAGCAGAGAGCAGGCTGCTGCTGCCCCCTCCCCAGACAAGCTCTCTCGCAGCCAGCTACTGCTGCGCACAGAGCATGTTGGGGGGGCTCCAACTCACTCAACTGCTGTCCCGGAAGCCAAGCCTGGGCGGGAGGCAGTCCGCTGACTCTCCCAGGCAGCTGCTGTGCTGTACTGGGCAGAATCTGGGAGTGGCTCCAGGGCCTGGCTGCTAGGGAAAGCAACCAAACATGGCAGGGGGAGCCGGCGCAACAGGAGGACAGAGACCTCCACCCAGGTAACATGGGGTGGGAAGGGGCCACGGAGAGCGCAGGGGCCCCTGGCTGGGGGTGGGGCAGGGAGGAGTCATATAGGGAGGTCACATGTCCTCCCCTTTAGCTGGTGACCCTGAGCATGGGGTGGCACCAGTCGTCTAATGTGCTTCCTAGGTGGTTACAGAGATTGCCTGGATAATACCAAGTAGAGTCAAACTCCCACAGTTACAATTCCAAACTGCACCAATTAATCTGAGTTTCCTACCATCAAGCTCCTTCTCCAACCGACAATCATGATAGACAAACATTTAAAAGGGGCAATGTACAGTTCCTGATTGTCTCCTTAGAGACAATGACTGGTATTGAACTAGCTGAGCCACTCACTTGAACAGCCTGCTGCCTGTACACCAGGAAGGACACCTTTCTGGGGGACATCTTGAGGTGTCGCATCAAGCACTCCTGTAGGGAGCTGATCCGATGTGGAAGGAACCCACCTGTTATACTGGAGAAATGCAGGACATCAGCAACCTGCAGAGGGAATATGAAAGGGATCAGTATGTCATGATCAGCATCTGTTGGCCCTAAAAGCAAAGAATATAGAAGTTTGTTACTGGAGAGTAAATTAAAAATAAAATTTCCAAATCATAATCTTTCCATGCCTTCAAATGTCGCTTAGGGCATGAACAAGGCTCCGCCATCCCTGTCTATCCTGGGCCACTCTTAACACATCCTCTAGATAAGTTTGCTGCCATCAAATTAATCCTTATTTCAGCTGTGTACAATCTCAGAGCTAAGAGTTTTCTGCCCACTCCCTTTAAAATGTTACAGTTATGTTTAAGGAGAGTTCCCGTTAGATTCCTTCCTTTCTCACTAAACTTGTTGTTTCTTAAATTATTAAACTACTGACACAAAGGGCTTGACTACACTTGTATTTTATAGCGCTCTAACTTGCTGGCTCAGAGGTGCGAAAAATCACCCTGAGGGCAGCAAGCCAGAGCGCTTTAAAGCGCTAGTGTAAACAGGCTCCGATCACTTGGAGCTAATCCCCTCATGGAGGTGGATTACCAGGAGCGCTGGAAGAGCTCTCTCCTGGCGTGCGAGTGCGACCACACTCGCACTTCAGCTCCGCGACAGCGCTTTGAAGTTTCCAGTGTAGCCATGCCCAAAAATGAGGAAAAATATGATGAAACAAATTTATACACAAAAACGATAAGCTTCAGTATTATAACACAGTAGTAAAGCTACAGAATCAATACTTTCGCGGAAGTACATTAAAAGCCACACATAGCACAAAGGGGCTGCATTGAATGTTATATCACCTAACTAATAGCACCTGATTGGGCAGTTACCACAACAATTGTCTCACAGGTAGAAGGTAAATAAAATATTTTTGACAAGCCAGGCAGACTTGGCTGTATCTACACTGGAGATTCTTTTTTTAAACAAATAATTTCATTGTTCCTAATATCTGCACAGCTGTTAGTAACAGCGGGACCATGCCACTGAGTGAGGCATACTGATACATCTTTTGAATTTTCCTCTGAAAAGTTGTTGCTCTTTAAGAACTGGTATTTGCTTGCTATAAAGTGACTCATAAATGAGATCTATGTGGGTTTGCCTGCACTAAGATGTGGTGACTTCTGGGCACTCTGACTCCAGTGCAATGGAGTGCAGAAAGGAAAACAGGTTGATTCTTCAGTGACTGGTGCACTGAGACAGCAGTGGAAGGACTGTTTGCATCAGTTTAGATATACTGGAAGTGGAATGCATCTGCTCTGCCACTAAACCAATTTACCTCCCACCAAGACAGAGCTGGACTGATTATGAATCAGACAAGAGATCTATCAATGGGGGAGGGAGGGAGTATATGAGCATATTAGTTCCCAGCAAAATAAGAGGAGTTATACCAATGCAACTTGCCTGCCTAGACCAGGCACTTACTATGTAGAAAACAATTTGCAGAGCCATCTGCAATGTGTCAGTTAACCATGCAGGAGCCAGAAAACCTGCTCTAGCATGGAAGGTTATCTGATGGTGGGTACTGAAGGAAATGTTTTGCAAAAATTTGCTTGTACAGACAAAACCTATCACTGGCTTGGTGATTCTGATTGATATTTGGCTGCTGGTGGTGACTCTGAACAACAGTTCATCCATCTGCTCCAAAAGTCATTTAATAAAATACGTTTTGGGATGGATTAGGAGAGAAGCCTTGCATACACTAAGAAAAATTATCCTGCTACACTACGATTTCAAGAGTTGAGACAAGTAACACTATGCTGACTATGTCTTTTCACAAGTCATGCTTAGCACAATGACTAGCCAAACAACAATTTGTCCCTGTCTACACTGAGTGGAGTCATAGTTGGCATGTGCTGGTTAACTCATTTCTTCACTATCAAGTTCCAACACAATAGCACTTAGTAGTCAAGACAAGCCTCATGCATAGTACTGATGCACCTCTATCACAGCTAGCAACTATGGAACCAGATGCTTTTACCACTGCCTGGTCTACTCTATCACTCTCACTGTTGCTAGCATTTGTGGAGCTGCATCAGCAGTAGACATGTGTGGTCTAACTCATTCACTCTGTTTCTGCACTTGTAACAGGGATGGAAAGAGTAAAAATAGATTTACACTGACTTTATCCAGGGGCCAATCTAGCCTTCATGTAAGTGGGAGTAAGCCTCAAGCTCCCACCAAGGTTGATCATGATCAACTAACATATCTTTAAAGGTGTTAAGACCTGTCTACACTAGTTGCTAACATATTTTTAAACCAGCGCTCAAACAAACACCTTTTTCGTAGGTTAAGATTTATCTTGACTAGGATAAAAAGGTCAGGGGAGGACTCAGAACTTTAGCTAACACATTCTGACTGACATTCAAAAATTCCAATTTAGACAAGGCAAGCTATGCTTTAGCACAAGCTGGCTGGTCAAATTGAAGCTTTTGACCATCTGTTCACACATATATACAGCTTGCCTTGCCTGTACTGGAGTTTCAGAGTGTGTTCGTTAGAACGTGACAGCTAGTACATTCGAAGCAAAATGCTTGTATCCTAGTCAGGAGAAACCCTTACACCAAGCCAATAAGCTTTTCTCTCGCTGAAACTATTCTCTGGTTACAAACCAAACTGGTCAGCAGGGTACCTGTGTATCAAACACGTTGGAAAGAATGACTCCATACTGGTGTGAGAGGCAGTCTGAGATCAAACGGCAGTCATGGATGACCTGAAGAACCAAAGAAAGATGCTGGAACCTGGCTGTTGATTCAATATCCAATTGCAATTTCTTACTGATGTGGCTCAACCATTTCACAAATGCCCTGCCACCGTTCTGAACACTTACTTTCAAAATGTTCTTGTCTTCCAGCACCATTTGCAGTCCATTTTTGAAAACTCGAGGCCCCAGAAGGAAAATATCAAATAAAAAAACCCGACTCCTCGTGGCTACCTAAAACAAACCAATCCCAATTTATTTGCAAGTGGGGAGGCCAGAGAGGGATATAAAAGAAGGGGGAGGTCTGCTGTTACCCAGCTTTGTCAAAGAATGTCCTCAATGTATCTTGAGGACAGCAGGTTTACAGTTTCATGAATATTAATCTGGAGAAAATCCCTGCTGTTTTCAAACAGATACTCGCAGACTAGTTTGCCATAAGGGATTAAACTCAGTAGCTTGTTGTGTGTAGTCACATAATGGGCATTTTCAGAACATGCATATCAGAAATCCTATCCACAATGCTTGAATTAAAAACAACCTTCCATTTCCCCACTTCCTTCACTGGATATAGACAAAGCGAACAACAGCCCCCCCTGAACTTTTCCATTCATTGACTCCCCTTTCACTGCAAGGGTTAAAATGAAAACACTGTCTCCTGTCTTCTGCCACCAGACTTTGATACAAGACTTGGCCTTGCTCATATTCAAAGTTGCCCTGGCTTAACTAAAGGTGTTATTTTAAACCAATTTAATTAAACTCATTCAAACCCTGTGTGGACACTTAATTTTACATAAACCAGATTTAAAATTGAATTAAGAGCATCTACACAGGCTTTGGACACATTTAAATAAATTGTTTTTTAAACCTTGAAAGTTAAACCAATGAAACTTTTAATTTAGATAAGGCCTTACTATCATGAATCTAAACATCTCTGGACTCATGCTTTTAAGCTAATCTTCCCATATTCTGACCTGTTTCAAGATCGATCATCATCAAGGCCTTGTCTACATATAAGAGTTTTGCTGCTAGCATAGTTAAAGCAGCAAAATTCTCCTAGTGTAGATGCAGTTATATCAAATTGCTTATATTGTTACAGCTTATTCTGGTTCAGCAAAGTAAAATAAGTAATACTGATATGAAACACTTTATATCAGTATAATCGCTTCTATAAAATGGCTTTCACCAGCTTAACTATGTGGGTTATACAGGTATATTTTTTAAGTGTAGACCTAGCCCAAGTTTTTCCCCAGATTATGCCTTCTTAACAGTGGAACACCTTGAAAAAAAACATTCTCTCTTTCTTTAACTGCCCCTTACCTGAAGCCAGCAGAGTCTTCCATGACGACACAGATTAACACCCTCTGCTGCCACACCAAAAACACACTGTTTTTTGATGTGCAGCATCTAGTGAGAACAAGAAGGAAAGGAATATACAAATTGGATGCCTTGGGAGTCTGATCATAAAAACAAACAGAAGTCATTAGTGACCAAAAGTAATTTGCATCTGACAGATGTTCAGTGGCCTGTGAGAAATACACTGGAGGTTTCAGTCCAATTACTGGAAGATAGCCATATAAAGCACAACATATACTATAATCAGTGCCTTCAGTGATAGTCTAGGAAGAGAGCTCCAGGACTGTATGGCACACGGATAATGAACAACTCTTTCACCACTAGAGGAGGTTTGAGGCATACTGTTGAGATAGTATGGATAAGCTTGCTCCCTGTACTTTACCTCTTTCCATGAATTAAAATATGGGTGGTGGGTGAACCACGGGCTCAGGGAGGTTAGCCCCCGGCCCGCCCCTATCACCCACCTTCCCCTGCCGGAACCCAGATCATCCCCTCCAGAGTGTAGGGCAAGCGTCATGAGCACTGGATCCAGCTGCCACAGGCCAGCCCACATTAGCCCCAGCCCCAGCCCAGGGTCCTGGCCACAGGGGAAGAGCTGCAGAGTGCCGGGAAGCAGGAGGGGGCCTGGGGGTAGAGTGTGACTGGGCCACGCAGGGCTGTTTGTGGAAGCTCAGCCTCCCCCAGCCTTTGATACCCACTGCCCATGGATTAAAAGGAGTTCATCCTCTAAAGCTGTACATATTATTATTAATATTATTGTAGCATCGAGGAGCCCACGCACTGGCCAAGATCCCACTGTGCTAGGTGCTGTACAAAAACAGAACAAAAAAAGATGGTCCCTGCCTCAAAGAGCTTACAATTTAAGTATAAGGCAAAATGGATTCAGACAAACAGATGGTAGAATACAAGAAAACAATGACACAGTATTGGTCAGCATGACTGGCAGTGGTCTCAGTACACCAGCAGCCTAACCACTGTCAAGTTCTGTCAATATCTTTTGCAGTACTAAAAATCAGAAAAAGAAAGAGAGGCTCAGTTGGGGCACTGAAGGAAAAGGGGTCTGGACCATTATAGCATTCTTATAATAAAGCAAGTCTCAGAGCATAGGCCATTCACAGCAGCAAAGGCCAACATTATCGTTTTTTAGAAGGAAAAAAAATCTCACATCTTCCTTTTCAAACAATGCTTAGATTAGCTCTCTGGGGCAGGGATCATCTTTTTGCTATGTGTGTGTACAAGGCCTAGCACAATGGGGCCCCAGTCCCTCGCAGGTCCTACTTCCATGTAAAAACAATAACTGTTTATGTTATACAAACACTGGGGACAAGATCATTTCCCCCAAATAAGGCTTTTAATCATGAACCTGCCATTAGTTCAAAGGGTGCTATGACAGAACCCTCTCACCACCAGGTACTTAAGCCTCCTGTTGAATCTACAGCAGCAAAGCCAGTTTCCAGATCCGGGGCAGATTGGGGAAGGAAAAAAAAAAAGAAAGTGGTGGTAACTTGCAAAAGCCCCACACACCACTGAAAAGACAGACCAACTGATTCTGTCACCCAACACCAAGTAATTCTGAGGCTCCACACAACACAGACCATTTAATTTTAATTCCTACAAAACACATCCATTGAATTCTGACCCCCAGGGATTGACAGACCCCCATACACACATGGCCCCTTGCACAACCGCTATGCACAATTGATATAAATCACACACACAAAAAAATAGACACAGATCTCCATATTTGGTAGACTTCACAAAGATAACAAACCCCAACATGCACAGAACTCCCCCCACCCCATTTGATACATGTGCACACACCTTTCCGCATCATTGTTATGCTGGTATAAGAAGTCATTGGTGGTTATGAAAGAGATCATTGCCACTTTGCTCAGACAAATAGTGGTTACCACATCTCCATAGGAGTTAGGTAACACCAGCTGTAAAGTGTACTCCAGAACAAGATCTCATGGAGAACTGCTCAAGATCTTGCATAACAAAATCTATTGGACTAAGACAGGGTCTCAGGTCATCACTCTAAGGCCATGTCTACACTACAAAGTTAAGTCAACATAAGGCAGACAGACACAGCGTCAGTGTAGACACTGCATTGCTTATGTCACCCTAAGTGGCCTCCAGGAGGTATCCCACAAAGCCCATTGTGACCGCTCTGGCCACCAGTTCGAACTCTGCTGCCCTGCAGCCAGGTACACAGGCATGTGCCCCATCTCCTTTAAAGCCCCAGGAATTTTTGAAATTCCTCTTCCTGTTTGCTCAGCATGGAGAGCTCACATAGCATTTGCCCAGCTGACCATCCTGGCTTCCTGCAGCAAAACGCGCTCCTGCCTGAAGTACACTGGAGTTGTTGGATCTGCTGGGTCTGTGGCGTGAGGAAGCTGTGCAGTCACAGATCCACTTCAGCCATAGGAACTTTGATATCTATGGGCAGATAGCTCATGGCATGGAGAAGAAGGGGCACAATAGGGACACGCAGCAGTGCCATGCCAAGATCAAGGAGCTGAGGCAGGCATACCAGAAGGCAAGGGAGGCCAATCGTTGGTCTGCTGCTTCTTCAAGGAGTTGTACACCACCCTCGGCGACTACTATCCAACTTCCAAGGCCAAAAGCCCCATGGATACTTTACAGGGGCTGGAGACAGTGGTCAGTGGAGTCAACCCCGAAGAAGATGTGATGGAAGAGGAAGTGGAGTTGGGACAGGTGACAAGGACGTCCGGTGGCATGGTGAGCCAGGACCTCTTCTTAACTCCAGAGGTGTCTAGCCAGTCCCAGCACTCTGGCTGTGGCGCGCATGATGCAAGAAAGGGGAGCTCTGGAAAATACTCTTTGTTCTTTGATACTGCAGGGAGACAAGAAGTAGAACTCTGCTTTTTTAATCAGGGTAGAAGAGGGACTGAAATAACCAACACAGGCACAGTATATGCTTCTCATTCCCCTGTGCACCTAGGCAGAGGGGGTCCTGCAGAAAAATGTCTTGATGCCCACCAGGACGTCCCAGGAATCATCCATAGAGATCTCTAGGAAACTTACTTGTAGGTTCTCTGCAATCCTTTGCCAAAAATTGCTTGGGAGGGCTACTTTGTTTTCTACCCCCCGCTATAGGAAACTTTGCTGTACCAATAGGCAATTATTTCTGCAGGCAACAAAGCGACACAGAGGCAAGCAGCATACGGACCAGGTCTGCAGCCACACATAAGCAGGAGCTGCAACCTTGCATTCTCGGTTACCCTCAGGGGCAAGATAACAGCTGCTATCTCCCCCGCCTGTGGAAAATGATGCCAGCATTCAGAATAGTGGCCCTAGGCGCTTCTAGTGATTTCGCTCTGAAGCCCCCCACCCTTAGTCCCATCTTGCCCCTTCCCCCCAAAGGCTGAACTCCCCATGCCTGGGGCTTCCACTGTGCTGTGTGCCTGCAAAGGGGAAGTGAGGAAGTGGTGTTTCTAACTAGTTTGAATCAAGGCTGTGAATGCACTCACAATAGTTCCTCTGCCTATTATTTCTTTAGGTTCTGCAGATGTGCCCTTGACGATCTCCTCCTGCACACCGGCTGAGCGGCTCTGTCAGATTAGGAAATGAAACAGGAGGAATAAGGAAGACATGTTCCAGGAGGTGCAGCAATCCTCAGATACTTCGGATTGTGAGCAGAGGGCATAAAGAGAGGATATCAATGAGAAAATGCTTATGGATAGCCAGGAGAGGAAACAGGGACAGGAGCAGATGATACAGCTGCTACAGGACCAAACAGACATGCTGAGGTCCCTGACTGAACTGCAGACAGAACATATCCATGCTTGCCTCCACCTGCAGCCCATACAGAACTGCCTTCCATGCCCTCCCCACACACACTCCTTGCATGTTCCTGGGCCGTCTCAGTACCCCATGCACTCCGCCCCGAAGGACATGTATCACAATGACAGCTGGACATATACCCAATTGTGAGAACCTCATTTGAAAATGTACTCTTCATTTTCATGTCCCTTGCAGAACAAATAAATGTTTGTATCGCTGTTGAATAACAATGTATTTATAGAAAGATATGGAATCTTCATTTGTTTCCTACAAACGGTGGTTGCTGCTGAAATTCATACCCAGTGGCAACTGGTGCATTTGCATTGTAAAATTAATGCGCACACAGCAATCATTACAAGGTTCATAATACAGTACAAGAAAACAATTCTTGGCTAAATGCATTACAGAGAGACATATTACTGGGGCTCATTGTCAAAATGTTCCTTCAAAGCCTCCCTGATTCATATAGCCCCCTGTTGAACCCCTCTAACAGCCTTAGTATCTGGCTACTCAAAATCAGCAGACTGATGATCCATCTCGATGCTCCTTCCCTGGCCATTCCACCTTGACGTCGGTGAAACGACCCTAGTGATCCACCAGAGATTGTAAAACCATAGAAAAGTAGCCCTTTCTGTGGATGTACTCTGTCGCAAGGTGGTCTGGCGCCAAAATGGGGATGTGCATGCCATCTATCACCCTGCTTCAGTTCGGGAATCCCATTGCTGCAAAGCCATTCACTATTTCCCACTCACAGTCCTTCATAGCAGGAGGTAATTAAGGGCTCTGCACACTTGCATCACTACAACCCCCCACAGTGGACTTCCCAACTCCAAACTGATTTGTGACTGAACGGTAGCAGTGCAGAGTTGCCAGCTTCCACACCGCGATCACCACTTGTGTCTTCACTGTTAGGGCAGCTCTCATTTTGGTCTTCTTGTGCCAAAAGGCAGGGGTGAGCTCCGCACACAGTTCCAGGTAGGTGGTTTTGTGCATCTAAAATGTCTGCAGTCACTGCTCATCATACCATATACACATCATGATGCCATCCCACCACTCAGTGCTTGTTTCCTGTGCCCAGAACCAACGGTCCACCATGTGCAGCTGCTCCGTGAATGCAAAAAGCAATCTTGAATTGTTTCTTTCCATGACATAGAGCAGGAGTCATCATCAGATCTGCAGCTCATGAAATACTGTGTTCATAACGCTCATCACAATACTGGAGAGCAGTATAAGATCCATGCTTTGGGACAGAGATGGCAGGCAAGCAGTTTACAGTGGCTGTTGAAAAGTGGTGCAAAATATAGTTGGAAGCCCATGGAATAATGGGATGGAGAAAACTGCATCATGGGACTGTGAACCTGCCCCCACGCGGCACTGCAAACCCTTCCCAGAATACCCAGCGGCAGATGGTGGCAAGTTGCACAGTGGGATATCTACCCACGGTGCACTGCTGTCTGTCGATGCAAGAGTGCCAAATATGGATGTGCTCCGCCATCACAACGAGCATTGTGTGGACTGCAAAAGCAGTAGAATTAGAGCGGTGGATGATGGTTGACGTAACTTAAGTTGATTTAACTTTGTAATCTAGACATAGCCCGAATATTATCATTGTTATTACTCACAGCGGGACCAAATTTCTGCTGGAATTGATCAATGACTATGTACTCCATATTTTCCTCTTCTTCCTCCTCTGCAATGAAAAACACAACATTAGAGATTTTCTCTGCATCAGTAATCACAGTGGATGTATATTCATACCCGCACTCAAGTCCCATCTTTACAAGAGCTGTACACAGTCCCACCTTCCCTTTCCTCCAAAACAAAAAACTCCAAGTACATTACTGCACTTCCAAACAAAGTTTGCTGCAACTATTCCCAGCAAACATAGAATGATTGTCTGTCAGCAGCAACTCCAGCCTCCAGGATTTTGATCTCACTGTGAAACAGAAACCACTAATGAGTTTTAAAAGTGATCTTCAAAGGTAAACAAAATAGGTAGGTGCCCTTTTTAGTTTCTGTTATGAAATACAGAGGAGTCAGGAAAAGATTTGTAAAAAGGTTTTTAACATTTAAAATTCAGCTTCTGTCCAGGCTGGAACATGTTATAATGAGGGCAGAACTACAAAGTGATGACATCACAAGAGAGTGAAAATTAAGCAATCAAGAGAGAAAGGGATTTTTAGCCAGTCTTAAAACTGATTTTTTTGGTTTTGTTAATACTTAGTTAACAATAATGTCTAACAAACACCTGGAGCAAGGCTCTCTTTGCAAAGATTGAGCACTCCCTTTTCTTTCAGTTAAGGTGTGAGAGCTCACAACACACATCTCTGACACCCCAGAAGGTCCTCTAGCAAAGCTAGGAAAGACTGGACTTGACACAATCTTGACATTTCTAATTTTTTTAATGCAGATTAAAAAAACCCTTCCTTTCAGTATTTTTGTCCATCTTAAAGAACTGAAAAAGAACATAAACCTCACTTTAAAAAAATCCTTTGCAAGTCATGTTCAAATTTTGCTCCATTCTCCCACTTCCTGAGTTGTTGTAACTGTACTTCCAATACAGAACAGAACAGAAGGTTCTTGTAGCACCCTGGTATCTGAACCCCTTGCAAGACATTAGCCAGATTTTGAACCTGGGACCACTTGCACACAAAGCAGGAACTGTTCTACTTGACCACCAACGCACTGCAACTATCCTCCAAGTGTAATAACCAGCCTCGCACTGATCATCAATGGCCAATCAGGCTTAAGTTTTTAGTTGACATCACAAAATAATGAAACATCAGATTAACACACTCACAAGATGTATTGCTTATTGCATGAAATACTTTGACTTCTGTACAAGAGTAGTTGTGGTGCTTTGTGAAAGAGTCATTTTACAGCTGGGAGAAATCCATAGTATAAGTGTTATGAAAAATGTATAATGTGACAACTAAGATTTCCTTATTTTTATAGAATATATATTGTATATTTTAATACTGCTCCTTATGAGCCTGCAGTCGAACGTGGGAGGAAAAGACGTTGTGAACCCTTGAGTTCAAAAGGTGAGGAGGGAGAGACTACAGGGTCACAGTCCCAGAATGGCTGCCTGTTGATGCTGAAACAATCAACAGTGAAATAGTCAGCAATGTTGACATTTAAATTGGCATCATTAGGCTTTAGTGTTAACTGATCTACGAGATAACTGGAGCCCATTTAATGACGTTTATTCAAAATGCCTCTTGAAGGCATATATTTATTATGGAGAGAACCTTTTCCTCCTCCTTAGTCAGGACAAATTGGAGAGTATTTTAATAGCAGCTCCAGTGCCAACGGCATCTTCTTGTTTTCAGTGTATGACAAGCCAAGGAGCTTGTACCACTCTGATGTAAACTTGCACCGCTTCATGAATTAGGGCTTGTCTACCCACAAAATAGAAATGAAATAACTAAATCGGTTTTAATTCACACAGTTAGTTATTTCAGGGCAAGTCTGTGTGGACTGCCATATTTGGAACAAGAGTGCCTTATTTCAATTTGACTTAAGAGAAAGGCACTCTTATTCCAAAATACAGGCGTTCACACACAGATATGCCTAAAATAACTAAAGGTGAGAATTAAAAAAAAAAACCTATTTAGTTAATTTGGATCCGATTTGGACATAGAGTGTGAAAAGGATATAGAACCTGGGAAAGGAGCTTGTGTCGCATACTAATTGTTTGGCTTGCAGAAAGACTGAACTTGCATTCCTAATATCACAGTTACCTGCCAGGGTATATTTTAAGTTACTCAGGGTGGTGACCCGGCTCTTTGGGGAAATGCAAGTAGAACTCTGTGGGCTGTGCTCTGCTGGTTCTCCCCTCTCCATTCCAGTTCCTCCAGTATCTAGACTGTCCCTGCACAAGACGACAGTGTAAGATATCACGGACAGTGCTGCAGTGAACACACATTGGGACATACAACATAAACTTGATAATATGTTGTAAGGCATTGTTTGACTTTCATCCAGGATCCTACACTTACATACAGCCATGTGGTGAGCTGCCCCACATATTGTAATAGCTTCCTAGTCAACATTCACATGTTTCCTGAGAGCTTCTGGGCCGTCTCTTAACTAAAAGTTTGCTTTGTTTATTGGCTATTTATTTCAGAGGGCAAATGTAAAGAAGCCAAAGGCAAAATCAAGCAGAAGAGAGGTCCACTGAGGAGGTTGGTGATGAAGGCCCCGACAGGGAGAGGAGGGGTCCCAAGATGCAGACATAAGAATGTAAGAACTGCCATACTGGGTCAGACCAAAGTTCCATCTAGCCCAGTATTCTGTCTTCCAACAGTGGCCAATGCCAGGTGCCCCAGAGGGAATGAACAGAACAGGTAATCATCAAATGATCCATCCCCTGTCACCCATTCCTAGTTTCTGGCAAACAGAGGCTAAGGACACCATCCCTGCCCATCCTGGCTAATAGCCATTGATGGATCCATCCTCCATGAACTTATCTAGTCCTATTTTGAACCCTGTTATAGTCTTGGCCTTCACAACATCCTCTGGCAAAGAGTTCCACAGACTGACTGTGCACTGTGTGAAGAAATACTTCCTTTTGTTTGTTTTAAACCTGCTGCCTATTCATTTCATTTGGTGACCCCTAGTTCTTGTGTTATGAGAAGGAGTAAATAACATTTTCTTATTTACTTTCTCCACACCAGTCATGATTTTATAGACCTCAATCATATCCTTCCTTAGTCATCTCTTTTTCAAGATGAAAAGTCCCAGTCTTATTAATCTCGCCTCATACAGAAGCCATTCCATACCCCTAATCATTTTTGTTGCCCCTTTCTGAACCTTTTCCAATTCCAATATATCTTTTTTGAGATGGGGCAACCACATCTCCATGCAATATTCAAGATGTGGGTATACCATGGATTTATATAGAGGCAATATGATATTTTCTGTCTTATTATCTATACCTTTCTTAATGATTCCCAACATTCTGTTCACTGTTTTAACTGCCACTACACATTGAGTGGATGTTTTCAGAGAACTATCCATAATGACTCCAAGATTTCTTTCTTGAGTGGTAACAGCTAATTTAGACCTCATTTTATATGTATAGTTGGGATGATGTTTTCCAGTGTGCATTACTTTGCATTTATCAACATCAAATTTCATCTAACGTTTTGTTGGCCAGCCACCCAATTTTGTGAGAGCCTTTTGTTGCCCTTTACAGTCTGCTTGGGACTTACCTATCTTGAGTAGTTTTGTATCATCTGCAAATTTTGCCACCTCACTATTTACCCCTTTTTCCAGATAATTTATGAATATGTTGAATAGGACTGGTCCCAGTACAGACCCCTGGGGGACACCATTATTTACCGCTTTCCATTCTGAAAACTGACCATTTATTCCTACCCTTTTTTTCCCTATCTTTTACTGAGTTATCGATCTGAGCTTCCCTCTTATCCCATGACAGCTTACTTTGCTTAGGAGCCTTTGATGAGAGACCTTGTCAAAGGCTTTCTGAAAATCTAAGTACACTATATCCACTGGATCCCCCTTGTCCACATGCTTGTTGACCCCCTCAAAGAATTCTAGTAGATTGGTGAGGCATGATTTCCCTTTACAAAAATCTCTTCCCCCAACAAATAATGTTTATCTATGTGTCTGACAATTTTGTTCTTTACTGTAGTTTCAACCAGTTTGCCTGTCCTGTAATTAATTGCCGGGATCACTTCTGGAGCCCTTTTTAAAAAATGAAATCACATTAGCTATCCTCTAGCCATTTGGTACAGAAGCTGATTTAAATGATAGGTTACAAACTACAGTGAAAAGAAAAGGAGTACTTGTGGCACCTTAGAGAGCTACAAGTACTCCTTTTCTTTTTGTGGATACAGACTAACACGGCTGCTACTCTGAAACTACAGTTAGTAGTTCTCCAATTTCACATTTGGGTTCCTTCAGAACTCTTGGGTGAATATTATCTAATCCTGGTGACTTTTTACTGTTTCGTTTATAAATTTGTTCCAAACCTCCTCTAATGACACCTCAATCTGCAACAGTTCCTCAGATTTGTCACCTAAAAAGAATGGCTCAGGTTTGGGAATTTCCCTCACATCCTCAACAGTGAAGACGGATGCAAAGAATTCATTTAGTTTCTCCACAATGGTCTTATCGTCCTTGAGTGCTCCTTTAGCACGTCGATCGTCCAGTGGTCTCACTGGTTGGTTAGCAGGCTTCCTGCTTCTGATGTACTCAAAAAAATTGTTGCTATTACTTTTTGAGTGTTTGGCTAACTATACTTCAAATTCTTTTTTGGCCTTCCTAATTATATTTTTACACTTCATTTGCCAGAGTTTATGCTTCTTCTATTTTCCCCCACTAGGATTTAACTTCCACTTTTTAAAGGATTCCTTTTTGTCTCTCTCTGCTTCTTTTACTTTGTTGTATACCCACGGTGGCACTTTTTTGGTTCTCTTACTATGTTTTTTAATTTGGGGTATACATTTAAGTTGAGCTTCTATTATGGTGTCTTTAAAAAGTTTCCATGCATCTTGCAGGGATTTCACTTTTGGCATTGTACCTTTTAATTTCTGTTTAACTAACTTTCTTATTTTTGTGTAGTCTCCCTTTCGGAAATTAAATGCTACAACGTTGGGCTGCTGTGGTGTTTCCCCGCCACAGGGATGTTAAATTTAATTATATTATGGTCACTATTACCAAGCAGTCCAGCTATATTCACCTCTTGGACCAGATCCTGTGCTGCACTTGGGACTAAATCAAGAACTGCCTCTCCTCTTATGGGTTCCAGGACTAGCTGCTCCAAGAAGCAGTCATTTAAGGTGTCAAGAAACTTTATCTCTGCATCCTGTCCTGAGGTGCCATGTACCCAGTCAATATGGGGATAGTTGAAATCCCCCATTATTATTATTATTGAGTTTTTTATTTGTATAGCCTCTCTAATCTCCCTGAGCATTTCACAGTCACTATCACCATCCTGGTCAAGTTGTCGGTAATATATCCCTACTGCTATATTTTTATTATTAGAGCATGGAATTACTATCCATAGAAGTTCTATGGTACAGTTTTGTTCATTTAAGATTTTTACTTCATTTGATTCTATGCTTTCTTTCACATAGAGTGCCACTCCCCCACCAGCACGACCTGTTCTGTCCTTCTGATATATTTTGTACCCTGGTATTACTGTGTCCCATTGATTATTCTCATTCCACCAAGTTTCTGTGATGCCTATTATGTCACTATCCTCATTTAATATGAAGCCCTCTAGTTCACACATCTTATTATTTTAGACTTCTAGCATTTGTATAAAAGCACTTTAAAAACTTGTCACTTTCATTTGACTGTTTCTCATCAGATCTTACCCATATTTTCAAGGAATTCTGAAGCACCTGGCTTACGACTGATCTACACAGTTTTATGGACAATTTCACTATCTTGTTTAGGAGTATGCTTTTATACCAAAATACTTACATCAGTACAATCCTTGGTGTTTATAAGCTATATCGCTATAAGCGTGGTTACACCATTATAACTGCATCCACACTAGGGGGTTAAACCTCTTGAACAATATCTGTTTTTACACCAGTATAATTAAAGCAGTACAAGAGACAAGCCCCTAAAGACATAAAGGGTCATTTATCAAAAAGCTTCTCTTTAAAGGATTGATGAATACAGGAATAAGTTTTGGTAAAAGACTAAGTTCGACTTTTTGTACACGTAAAAGATTGCTGCTAAAGAGAATGGTATTCACCTTGCAAACTGCAGTTTAAGGGATCGGTTAGCAAAAGCCAGTCAATCCCCATTTCCCTTATGAGGGAAATTAAATAGTTTCAAATATGGCCTTGGGAAATACTTGAAAACCAAGTAACCTAACACAATTTGTGTTGGAGATGCAACTCTGAGTAGAAATTCAAGAGTTTTACGTACAAATCCACACCTGTGCCAGCTTCCAGATGTTACATTTACCTACATTTGATAAGGTTTGAAATGTAGCTTCCCCTGTACAACTGTTTGGCCGTGGATGAAGGGTTTTTTGTGAGAAATATTCCCTGGAAACCATGAGTTCATTATCAAACAAATCAAACAAATTATTCATTGATGGAGAAAGGAAGAACATCTTAGAAGAGTCTTTTCAGTAATGGAAACACCCCAGCCATCTCCTTACCCATTCCCTCTTAGAACAGTTCAACACAATCTTGGTGTCACTTAACCTTATACTCATAAGATTTTCCCTCCATTTGTTGGCTATTCTAATAGGTACATTCTTTTTCCAGTCATGAAAGATAAGTCCCTTCCAACATACCTGATGGGAGTTGCAGCTTGTTCCAGTTCCTCCAGCAATTCCACTGTAATACAAACCAACAACTTCTGTTACAGCTCTAACATCAGCAACTCATTGACTAAGAACTACATTTAATCCCCAAGAAATTGAAGACGAGCCAGAACTAGTACTGACCAGTGTGGAACACAGTCATGGCAAGGCATTCGTTGTAAAAAGTAATCATAGATCAGATATCAAAGGCAATAGCATGCAGTAGAAATATTTTACACCAGTGGCATTTAAGTTGAACCAGCTGATGCTACAGCATCTCTACTGAAACCTATATGGCCCTGCATAAGGCCAGTATTGCACCACCAGTTTACAGATTACATTTTGTTGTAAATGTGATAACCTGAAGAAGGAGGCAAGGATGTATAGTACATAGATCACTCTGAGAGCTGCCTTCCATCTCCTTGCCCCCAATGCAAAACTGAGAGTGTCAGCAGTACACAGAGACAGATAGGCCTGTCTTCACTAGGGACATTTCTAAAAAATTCACAATGGCTATCCCAAATGAAGCTTTAAAAAGGCCTCAGAGTAGCATACTGCACATAAATTCTTCATCCGTGGGAGTGGCTTCAAAATAAAGTTATCTTAGACAGTTTGACTCCATAGTTTGTTTCATCAGTTTTCAGAGTAACAACCGTGTTAGTCTGTATTCGCAAAAAGAAAAGGAGTACTTGTGGCACCTTAGAAACTAACCAATTTAAGCTCATGCTCAAATAAATTGGTTAGTCTCTAAGGTGCCACAAGTACTCCTTTTCTTGTTTCATCAGTAAAATTCTTCTGTGTCTGAGAACAGAATGCTCTGACTCCTCTTTTTGTCTTTTTGGATCTGGGGAAGAAGACAAGCAGAGGCCCAACACAGCCTTTTCACAAGGTGTTTCCATGAATTATTGAACTAAGTGAACAAGACATAAACACAAGGCTAATAAATCTCAAAATGTACTTTGATCATTTACTTTGCCTAGTTTTAATGAACTCAGTATTTCAGAGCATATTAATCAGTATAATTTGGCACAGTATACTAACCAATGTAATGTAGCATACTTTATAAAAATACTTAAGAGGAGACCATCAACTTGAAATATTGTCAATTTTTTAAAAAAAGCGTTAAAATAGTTTAAATTAAAGGATCTGATCCAAGGTTTAAAGCAATGGCAATCTTTACATTGACTGTAATGGGCTTTGGATCAGCCCCATATAGCACTTTATATGTTCAAGAATTCTATAAACATTAACTAATCCTAACAACGCGCTTTGAGATTGACGATCAAGTACTACTATCCCCATTTTATAATTTTTGCAGTTTTGGATACTACTTCCCTGCCGATTTTATTGTTGCATAATCAAAATTTCCTATTTTTTTAAATGTTCTTCTCACCTATATTGCTATGTGACAGACCCGAAACAAATGAATGGGGAAACTGACTCATTATATAGGGAAAAAACCAAAATTGATGATATGCTAAGTGCTGTTATATGCAAAAAGTAAATAAGCTGAGGGGGAGTGGGGAAAGATGAACAGGAAATATTTTCCCCCTGACCTCTCAGCTACAGTAATCTTAGGTTTTATCTATTATTTTAAGTACATTTTCAGACAGAAGAGTGATTTTTAAGTTGACAGTATCCCTTTAAATCATAGTAATAAGAGACCTCATTATAAAATCTACTATTAAATCTTTGAAAGACAGGAAAACATCAGCTATTTTGTGTGTGTTTTACAGAATGCACAATTTAATGAATTATTGAAGAGAGAGTTCTGTGCTGTTCAAATTATTATGTCTTAATGAGTCCCTTTAAAATGCTTCCAGTTTTTAATTACTTAACACTTGGATTATAAAGTTTTATTATAGTCAGTTTCATTTGTTATAATCAGTTTCATTTTTAACACAATTCTATTGTGTTTGGCTTAAACACTCTAGGGGAAAGTGAAAATCTAAACAAGAAACTTCTCACTGAATCTTTTTCAGTTTTGTTTTTTTCAACTACAAAAGTCTTGCCCACAAAAGTGCTAGTGTACACAAAGCCTAAAGATACTTACATGGCCCTCCCTGATTACTGTAGCATCTGAGCACATCACAATTTTTAATGCATCTATCCTCACAACATCCCTGTGAGGAAAAGTAGTAGTATTATCCCCATTTTACAGCTGGAGAAACTGAGGCACAGAGTGGTTAATGACTTGCCCAACATCACAGCAGGGACTTGAATTCAGATCTCCCAAGTCCTAGACTAGGGCCTTTACCACTGGAGCATCCTTCCTCTCCTTACTTAGGAGTTACACAGCCAAAACTCTCAGTGACTAAAATGGGACTTTTATCTAAGTAAGAAATCCTGAATAGGGCCCATCATTAGAAAAGAAAAACAAAAGTGCTAAACACGTGATAGTACCCATGAACCTCACCCTTGCAGAACAAAGAAAGCTCTCACCATTCACAATTTCATAACCAAAAAACATCTTCACACCTGGCATGCTTCTGCCTGTTTCCAAGTTCTTCACTGAAATAATTAAAAGACAGGTAGATAAATAAACAGAAACATTGAGCTCTGCATTAAAATTAAAGGTAAGAACTGATTACACACCAAATAAGGCCAGAAAACGGTCTTTGCTAATGACAATTGGCAACAGCACTAAATCAACAATTTAAAATTACTGTATTGAGTAAAACTAATACAAAAAACAATGAGGCTGTTGTATGCAAATGTCTGGTGGACACAACGGGGCAAATTCTGGGCTCAGTTATTCTTTTGCAATCCCAAAGCTGTCAGCACAGCTGGGCCCACATCCTTTGTAACGTTACATTAAGTAAGAGTGTTCACTCTTCTGCTGCTTGTTTTTCATTGCATGAGTACAACTATGCCCCTCTGAAATCAATGGAAGGTTAGTCTGTGCCTGGTGCAATCAGCAGTAGGTGCAATCCGCACGAAAGACTGAGCAGCCTAGTTCTAGTTAGTTTCTGAATGGCTGAAGATTAATTATTCTGGAGTTATCAGTGAAAGTCAGCCATTGAGTAATTTGAGTGGCACAAATTCCAGTTACACATAATTATTGCTGAGCAAGGCATAAGTACATCAGAACCCACTCCTGTTCCTACTAACTCTCTTGAAATGAGGACTACATGCAGATTTAATTTGCTCAAGATAAATCCTGAAAGTAGATTATGCCTCTATTTCACTTAAAATCCCAGATATCTTTTAAAATAAACAGAATCTCAGATTTGTTCACTTCATTCAGAATTTGGGCAAGCAATGCCCTCCATCTACTCAGTCTAAATAGTCTCAGAAAAGACCAGAGAACGGTATAGAACAAACACCCTGTTCAGTCCTGGCACATCAAACAATGTATATCTATCACATGAATCTATTCTTCCTCATGTGGGAAATAATGTTCTCTTTACAATGTGGGACATGACGTTCCAACCCACACACCCTTCCAACATATGATATAGCATGCCAATGAGCCCCTACCCTATCCAATCTAGAATATGTAAATACACCTTCGTGAACTCCCCCATTCCCCCCCAGGATTTGAAGAACTACATTAATGTAGGTGACAAATACAGAACAAGAATTAAACCTCTGCTCAGAACGATACTTCTGCTGGAATCCACATGCTGCAATATTCCCTGGAAGATGCCACATTTCAAGGTGATTTTCACTGTTTTTCCCAGAATCTCATTGAGGAACTGGTAATCGCTGCTCGGATCCATGTTGGTATATCCCCAAACTAGCTCCCCAAATAGTCTGGTTCTCAAAGCAGAGTAGGAAATGAAAAGGGGAACTCCTCTGTCAAAAGATTTACTTTTCTTAGGACCTCTGCAGGACAATCCAAGAAGAAAAATGAAAAGACAGAGCCAGAATCATTTTAATGCCCTCCAGCTGTGACACTCAGCATCCAGTAGAATAAAGCTGCAGACCGAGGAGGAAAGGCACCCCAGCATGTAATAATTCATAACATACAGGCACTGCATTTGTCAACCAACTGCATACATGGGGCAATGGTAATAGAAGAAATTACATTTAGCTCTAAAAACCATCATTGTAGGCTTCCCAGTCAAATGGAGCATAAATGCCAAAATCTGAAGACCCTTTGCAAACTACAGGATTGAAATTATGATGACTGTAGAAAAGTAGAACAATCTCAGAAATTTTGCTGAACAGATCAGGAGTTTCTCTCCTAAATGGGACCTGTTAACAGTTAAGATGAAGCAGATCCAGTCACTGAAAAGCAAATACAGTCAGTGCACTGTTTGGTCCCTGTATAACTGCTTCTCTGCACCTATCAGCTAGGCAGCGGTTCCCAACCTTTATGGACGTCTCTACTGGTCTGCCAGACCAAATCCTCTTCTCTGCCAGCCAGTACTCCCTACTGTGCAGCGCACTAACTCGCCCCACGCTGGGGCGGCTTTTTGTGACCTCAGCGCCGCCCTTGGGAGCGACCTCGAGTCGCAGCTCACCAAGTTGGCGTGACAGTGCGTGTGGGGAGCCTCTCAGCCCGCACGCAGGGGCAGGGCAGGGCAGGCAGGAAGGGCTCGCACTGGGGGCCCCAGGGCAGCTCTTCCCAGGGGAGGGGGAACCCAGAGGCAGCCCTGTGGATAGGTCACCACTAAGGTCACTGCATGGGGCTCGGAATCACACCAGGGGGCTCGGATCCCGCAGGGGCAGCTCCCAAGTTCCTTCCCCACTACCAAGTCCTCCGGACCCGTACGGAGCTACTCGCTACTAGATAGCGCGGGCAGGGCGGCGGCCTCTTCAGAACGTACAAACTCCCTGCTCCTAGCGTGGCATCAGGGCCATGGTAGGGACTACAACTCCCAGAGAACAAAGCGACACCTTGTGGTGAGTAATCAGAGCAACGCGGAATGCAGAATGCTGGGAGTAGTAGTTTTCAAGGGCCGCGCTTTTAGGGCCTCTCGTGATGACGTTAAACAGCCCTAAGTGTGACCGTTAGCGAGAAGAAAGATAGGAGCCGCTCCGCGCAGGCGCTGATGAGCTCTCCTTTGTGAGAGGCGAGGAGCTGCGGGGCGGGGTTACAGCGCGGTGTGGGAGGGGCCGGGCCCGCAGCCGGGGTTGATAAGAGGAAGCGCAGGGGTCTCTCTTTCTCTCCCCTTTTTTTTTTCTGGCGTCCAGTCGCACCGGTGTCCGGCTGCAGCGTCCGGGGCCCGCACGCCGCCGCTGCTGATTGGCCGAGCCCGCCATTGCTTGTCCCCCCCCCCTTCTCTGCGCGGCGCCGCGGCTGTCACTGTCCCGCTCCCCTGCGGCCAGAGGCGGCGGCCGGAGATGGGCTCACGAGCATCCTCGCTGCTGCGGGACGAGGAGATCGAGGAGATCAAGAAGGAGACGGGCTGTGAGTAGCGGGCTGCCGGCCCGGGGCTTTGCGGGCTTGGGCTGGGCGAGCCGGGACGGGAGCGGGCGGCCGGCCGGTCTCTGCCCCACAGAGCAGCGGGGACGGGGCGGTGCTGGCCAAGACTCGGGCTGGTGGTCGCCTGAACTCAGGCCCGGGGGTCGGGGCCATTGAGAGCCTGAGCGCCGCTTCCATGCCGCGAGCGTCGTGCGGGCCCGTCTGCCGGCTTGTTCCCAGCCGCAGTGCGGAGATTGCCTCACCGCCTCTGGCTCTCCCCGGCTGGGCACAGCATCTTTTGGGTGCCGGGGCAGGCACAGTCCCCCGCTCCGGCCGTGCTGCCAGCCCCTTGCCTTCTTCCCTTGGCTGGGCCGCCGGGGGCTCTCTCCTTTCCCGCTCCGGCCAGGCGGGGGCCGCTCGCTCGCCTGTGCACTGGTGCTCTCTGCGTGGCCAAGTCTCTTCTGCCCTGGTCATTCCCTCCGTCCCGGGAACGAGCCTCCCAGGAGGGAAGAGGGATGTGACTCACCGGCCCGCGTGAGCGCCTCATGATTGGGGGGGATGCGATCCCAGCAAAAGGGGCCGACCATCACTATAGGATTATGGGGTTTTGCTGTAGCGGATCGGAGGCCTTTACACTCCCTAACCTGCACCCTCCGCCCCCATTATTTGGTGTTAGTAAAGGAGGAACACGCAGGGTGGAAAGAAAAGGAGATCTTGTGGCACCTTAGAGACTAACCAATTTATTAGAGCATAAGCTTTTGTGAGCTACAGCTCACTTCATCGGTAGCTGAAGAAAGCTTATGCTCTAATAAATTTGAGCTACCGATGAAGTGAGCTGTAGCTCACAAAAGCTTATGCTCTAATAAAATGGTTAGTCTCTAAGGTGCCACAAGTACTCCTTTTCCTTCTAGGGATACAGACTAATACGGCTGCTACTCTGAAACCTGTCATTGCAGGGTGGAAGCACTGCAGCACTTCCTGTCAAAATCAGTTACCTTTGCTGAGAATCCTCTTTTTGTCTGCAAAGGTCCTACCTGCCTCATAGGTAAAACTGTGCTAATATCAGCCATTGTTTAACTCCTAGTGCTAGCAGAGTTCCTAACCTGATAGGCCTAAACCAGCAAGACAGATTCTCTGTTGTGGTGGAGAGCTACATGGCACAATAGAAAGCAGAGACTGTCAGGGAGCTGGGTGCAAATCTCTCATTCTGTGCTGTAGCCCAGGGAACGTGTAAGTGCTGAATAGGGACTGCTATTGAGCGAATATCAGGAATACAACACTCACTGTCCCCTGCAACAGTGCTATAGGGTGGAAGGTAGGAAGCACAGGAGCTGTTACTATGGACATTAGAAGATAGTTTTTGCATTCGCGTTGCCTGAGATGCGAAGGGAGAAGAAGACAACCGTCAATCTACTTTTGTATTTACCAAAATATAAATTGATGGGGTACTTTCTGGTAGTCATTGGAGAGCTGGCTTATTGCATGTTTCTGGTTTTCATTGTTTCCAGCTACTAAACTGCTTTAAAAAAGGCTAAAAATACAGTAAATGCCTTCCTAGTATTACTTTGCAGTTGAAGTGATTGCATAGTTGCATTAGGGATGTGTTATGATTGCAAGTAAGAGGGGCTGTTGAAAGCACCATGTATGCAAGAGAGGTGATCCATGAGACTTGCGGATGTGGTCAACAACAGGAAAGTTTGCAAATCCTTGTACTATGAATGCAGATGGAACATTTTAAGAACTGTTATAGTAAAACTCTGCTCTGTATAACCTACCTCATCCTCTAGTTGTTGAACATTGCCTTTCCATAAATACAGAATCTGGGCAAAATAGGAGTGGGGTCACTAATCGTCCATGTATTAGTAAAGGAAACTGTCTGGGTAAAATTGAGTGTGTTGTGGACTAGACATGATTGTTGCAGCTCTGAGAACCACAATCGTTCACTTTCCCTAGAATTAAGAAATCACTTTTTTTTTACTTCCAGGATTTCATTTGTCTTTTGTATAGTCTTGCTGCTTCAGCCCCTGCAAAGAATTAAGATCTTTCCAAATTAAATGTTTCCCTACCTCTTGTTTTTTGCCTTTATGAGGATATTGTATCTCTTCCAGAAAGATGGATTTCCACCACATACATATTCCTGATACAAGTAGATTGAGTATGTAGACTATTTCCATGCTCGTTGGATTCATCAACAGCCATGGATCTTTATTACCTGTAGCCCCCTGCACACTGTCAGCCGGAATTTGCTCTGCCCAGCTGATCATTGCATGTGTATTCAGACATCTTACTAAAAAGAGGAAACTTAAAAACAAGCAAAGGTTTAACTTAAACTGTTGGCCTCTAGATAGTCTGAATGTTAACTAGTCCCAGTACCACTAGCAAATATTCGGGAATGATTTTTCCGACAGGCCCCTGATACTTGGTGCATTATGCTGTTATTATTTCAGCTAATATTGGAGAATCATTACTGAGCAATGGGCCTGGTTTATGAACATTTAGAACAGGAGTGGCCAACATGTGGCTCCTTGTATAGGCACAGACTCTGGGGCTGGAGCTACAGGTGCCAACTTTCAGTGTGCCAGGGGGTGCTCACTGCTCAACTCCTGGCTCTACCATAAGCCCTGCCCCCACTCCACCCCTTCCTGAGCCTGCCATGCCCTTGCTCCTTCTCCTGCCCCTCCCCAGCACCTCCTGCATGCCAGGAACTGGGAGATGCTGTTTGGCAGGGCTGCCGGTGGGTGGGAGGTGTTTGGGGGGAGGGGCTACTGCCGTATTATTGTGGTTCTTTGGCAATGTACATTTGGTAAATTCTGGCTCCTTCTTAGGCTCAGGTTGGCTACCCCGATTTAGAGTATGTGTAGAGACTGAGTATTTAAGTGACAGCATTGGTACTAGGAGAGTTCCTGCCCTGATTACCCTTAAATGCTTCACTTAACTTTTTTTAGTGTGAGACTTATATTTGTGGTTTGCAACTTAAATTTCAGATTCTGGTTTTTGAGGTCTGAGTTAAAATATTTATTTTTAGGATTTAATTTTTGTTTTAGGATTTATAAAACAAAACTCTGCTGTCAGTGAATTAATTTAAATGATTCATGTCTGTATGGACTGTAAAGGCTATTACGTTTTTTCTCACTTCAGTAATCTTTAACTTTTCTAGTGTTTAATTTTAGACTAGAAGCTTGTTCTGCTCTACCTTGTGTAGTCTGCACAGTGGATGGAAAATTCCACCATTCGGTTAGCACCTTGCTCTCCCTTTCCACCGGTATAAACGTCTACACAAGTAAAAGGCAGTTAAAAAGCAGATCATAAAGTACCTGGAACAAAGTTTGGTGGAAAAACAGTTAGTATTGCTGTGACTGTGGGTCATTCTGAAGGATCTGTAACATCCACCAATTCTTAGAAGCTTGGTGCTCCTGATACTTCCTCTGCTAAATAGTTAAAGTGAACCCAGCTAAAGCAAAAAAGAAAAGGAGTACTCGTGGCACCTTAGAGACTAACAAATTTATTAATGTTAGTCTCTAAGGTGCCACGAGTACTCCTTTTCTTTTTGCAGATATAGACAAACACGGCTGCTACTCTGAAACCAGCTAAAGCAGAACATCATGTTGTCACTAAATGTCCAACTTGAGAAATGGTAACACTGTTAATTACTCTGAGGACTCTATACTCGTCTGTCTCCATTTTACTAAACTGTATTTTCTCCAGTTTCTGTTGGATAGGAGGAAGTAAATGAAAAGGGCATTTGGTTTAAACATTAAGTCTATTGGTGGATACTTGCCTGTGGAGTTCTCTCAATTGTGGGTGACCTTTGTCTTTCCCACCACTGAAAGTGGACCCCTTACAGGCAATGCAAAGCCACAGCTGACAGTATTAATAGCTACACAGTACTTCATATTAGCCTTTGTACCTGGAGTGGATAGAAAAGATCTTTGTGGCAGAATGCTTTTTATTTTCTCCC